AGATCCTATTTTCTAACTACTATATACTATAAAATAACTATGCTAATAACTAATAATAAATATAATATAAAATACAAGAATGAATATATAACAACTATTAATAATATAATATACTATACTATGCTAAAAATCTACTTTGTAACAATATCAAGAATCATTTTGTGAACCAGGGCCTTTCAGAGAAGACTATCAAGTTATATGAAGTAGTATATGGTAAAGAATCTACAAGGACCATATCATTGAATATTAAAAAAGAGATATTTTGATATAATGAATAGAAAGTTGATCCTATTACTTATTCTTTGAATTGCATTATCAAATTTTTTAATGACTAAATAAAAACTGATAGAGCATATAACACTATTGCTGAATACAGATCAGTGATAAGTAAGGTTCATTACTAGATAGACAACACACCTATAGGCTCATATTCTATTATTGTTAAAGCAATGAGAGAAGTGTACAATAAAAACCCACCTCTACCAACTGATGATAAAATAGTCAATTTGGTTCCAGCTTTTGACAAAATACGATTCTTTGGAAACAACAATGACATAGACATTTTATTATTGTTAAGAAAGGTTTTCTTCTTGTTGGCAATTATCATAGCAAATAGGCCTTCAGATCTAACCAGAATTAATGCATCATCCATGTACTCATAGCTCATAAGGTTATGTTTAGTATTAGAAGCCCAAAAGAGCACAAAATATCACTTGCCCATGAGATAACAAACTGGCATCGAAGAAGATTTATGTTGGGCACTACTTAGAATTACCAGAAATTTCACCATTAGTTGCTGTCAATGCTCTTCAGATTTGAACTTAGGACTGGCACATTTCATATAAGCAAAAGACCAGTTTACTACTAATTTTAACAAGTCATCACAACTTCCTGGTACCTGACACAGTGGCAAGATAGATTAAGGACATATTGTGTGAAGCATCACCTAACTTAAGGCAAAAGATGCTAGATTGCTAGCAGTATTCTATGTTCAAAATTCAGAAACTGATCTTTTAATCATATTGGTAATGAGTAATTGGTTGAGCCACAGTGTATATCAACAATTTTATCAGTGAGGAATTATAATTATACTACAGAAAATCAAGTTACATAGGGCATTTTAGTTACCACAAATAGGAAAATCTGTAAATCAGTTAATCTGCATTAGTTATATGATCTGAGATATACTTACTGAGTGGAGTTCATTTACTCAAATGTATGAACTAGTGAAATGCATTTGTAAATAGACAAGTGAGATAGGTATATCAAAGATCATAATTCCACCCACCTGCTCCATAATATATGGTCAGAAAAAAAAATAAAATAAAATAAAAATAAAATAAAATAAAATAAAATAAAAATAAAATAAAATAAAATAAAAATAAAATAATATAATATAAAAATAAAATAAAATAAAAATAAAATAAAATAAAATAAAAATAAAATAATAAATAAATAAATAATACTAAGATAAATAGATAGATACTAAGATAAATAGATAGATACGTAGATGCAAACGGTAAACAAAACGGCCTGGGCATAACAGGTGGAAATATATTGTGAGCCCGATTTTTGGGGTCACGGGTGCCGAATCGGGGTGACGATCCTTACCCGATCCAAGGTCACGCGAAAAGTAACAGAAATGTTACTTATGGCACTTATGG